CCCCAAAACCCCAAAACCCCAAAACCCCAAAACCCCTTTGCTAAAATAATTAACTGAAAATTATGAATAAGAAAGCCAAGAAGTTCCTGAAGCAGAGTATCCATACTAGGAAGCAGAGTAGCAGGGAGACACCACTATGTACGGTATTTGTATTGACAAGCCATTTGGGTTATTCCTCACTGAGTTCCTCTTCCCTTTGGAGAGCTTTAAAATCGGTGTTTTATTTTATTTACTATAGCAACAAATACAGCTAGGAGGCTAAGTAAAGGAGAAAGCTCCAAGGAGAATACCATCCAGAAGGAGTACCGTAGCAATTGATCTAATTCACGCCTTTCTGGAAATGACTCAATCGATAGTCAATGTAAGCTTCGTAGTGTAAATTTATCACAGATTCCTCTTTGGAAGAATTTCAGGAAATGGAGCTAGCCAGCGGTCTGGTCAGAGTCATGCCTAAAATGGACTATGATATCTCAAATTTGTTCCTCAACCAAGAGTCTGGACCTGAAAATGAGTGCATATTTGATGAAAGTAGGTTAATGAGGGAAACTTGTATAGAATATCGGTACAACAAGCATCTTCAGAGACGTGTAAAAATACATCCTGTGTTCAAAGTTCCTATAATCCAGAGAGGTAAATACTAAATTTCCCAAATGTTTATCCTGGCTCTCTCTAACTTTAATACAGAAAGCAAATATGAGTTCTTCAGCAAGAGGGATGAATTCTCTAGATGCAATATGTAAGGGCTGCAATGTTATACTTTAGAAAGATAAAGCAGTCCATTCATGAGCTCAACGATGTATCGCCTTTTAAAGACGCACACAAGACCAAAGCTCCGAATTTTATTCTTGAAGAGAAACATGAAGAGGAGAAAGTTGGCTCCCAGAACTTTCCCAGGGCCAAACCTCCGATGCTGAAGAAACCCCTCGCTGTGATCTCTCAGAAGGTTCATCAAGGTAAGTGTAGCTACTTATTTCTAGAAAGCCAGATCAAATTGGAAGATAACATAGCAATTCTTGAGAACGGTCATGAGAAAAGTCAAAATACTTCATTCGATTCTATGGGCACAGATCAGATCTTCATGACTTATGCTGAGAATGACACGAATGGAGAGGAAGAGCAGGAAAAACTGCAAAGCAACCATATCCTGATCGATCAAGAGATCGATAAGATTAAGGAGAACATGCGGATGCCCACTACTGAGACTGAAGAAGATGAGCTCTTGTTCAAAGATGATGAAAATATCAACCAAAATCTTCCATTTGAGTACCAAGTGAAGGCGGATGAGTTTTCATGTGAGAAAGCAAATAATTTGTTCAGCCCCTTGGTCAGAAAAATCGCTCTAATGGAGTATGACTTTCAAGCTGATATCTCTGAAGCAAAACATCTGAATTCCACCTCTGGGTTTTTACTGGCTCCTGATTTGGCTTTCAAGAAAGTTCATGACAAGAAGAAGGGTGGATATATGTACGAAGCTAGTGCGATAATCGATCATAAAAGCCCAGAAATGATTCTTCATAAACTAATGAACGCAAGCATTTTGAAATCTTTCCTATGTACACCAATAAAACTTCTCTCTTGTGGTCTAGAACACTGAGCAGTCTTGACTTCCTTTGGGACTGTGGCTACCTGGGGCTATGGTGCTTCTGGATGCCTTGGACATGGAAACTATACATCCTTTACCAGTCCGAAACTGGTCCAAGTCAAAGATGAAGAGTACTTGAATGAGATCGATACCATTGAGTGTGGTGGATACCACACTATATGCATCTCTAACTCACACTCTGTTTATTCTTGGGGCAGAGGTGATGTTGGGCAGCTTGGTCACTACAAAGGTCAACTCGCCAAAGACAAAATGGGACTTGTCCAGTTGACTCCAAAACTTATAGAATATTTCCAAGAGGTCCCAATTATTCAAGCAGGGTGTGGCGAAGCCCACACTCTGCTCCTTGATAAATGGGGCAGGATTTTCTCATTTGGATGGCACCAGCTTGGCCAACTTGGAGTGGGCAAAGTTAATGATGGATTTTCCATCAACTATATTAAAGGAATTCCTAAGATCAGTAAGATCTTTTCTGGAGCAATTTTCTCAATGGCTATCTCATCTCATGGCAAAGTTTATACTTGGGGATGAGGAGAAAGTGGACAACTAGGACTTGGAGTGGAAATCAAAGAGTCAGTCATTCCAATCCAAATCGGAGTTGGCACTGAATTCGAGCAGAAATAATGTAATTGAGGGAATATGTGGAAGCAGTCATTCTATTGTGATGACTGATGAAGGAGAGATTTATGCATGGGGACAAGGAGAAATAAAATCAAAATCTGATAGTAAAGAGTTGAAATATATCAAAGCTTCGAATGTTGGAACTGTACTGACACATGTGGAAACTATTCATAAATTTTTGCTCAAAAAGAAGACCCCAAAAGTTTCAAAACCATTAAGGTATTATTCACAGAGATGCTCTCCAGAGAAAATCGTTGAAATCTCCACAATTTCATCACCAAAGGACAGTGATGATTCTGGAAAATTAGAAAAATCTGCTCTTCAAAAAGCATCTTTGTTGAGGAATAATTTGCCAAGCTCAAGAGTTCCCTTTAAGAAAAAGCCGTTTCAAGAAGAGTAAGCTAAATTTTTCAACTTCTTTAGGAATAATCAAACAAAGAAGTTGTTTTCATATAAGAGTCAGAATTCACTTTCTGCGAGGGATAAATTATCCAAAATACAAAATACCTATATCAAAACTCATGCCAAGAACAGCCCTTCTTTAGGAAGCAGGGAGTCAGCATCAAGAAGCCCTATCATAAAGAATGCAAAGACTAGGCCTCCAAGCTCAAGGACAGGAAAGAATGCTTTAAATGGCCACTCAAGATCAGAGATGTACTCAATCAATTCAAATTCTCCAAGGAAGTTTCTTCAGATCCAGAGCGACCACAGTTTGCTTGATTCCTCTGCCCATGGACATCGATACAAGAATTCTGTGCTTACATCTACTCATAAGGCTAATCATAGCACTTTGAAGAGCGATTTATCTCCTAGAAAGAACAGAAATATGGCTAATCACACTAAAGAAGGTACATCTCAAACTCTTATAAATTTAGAAAGCAAAGATCACAAGCAGTGAAAATTTTCTTTGCTAAAATCAAGGGTGAACTCCGCCCTGAACCAGTTCAAGGAGAGGAAAAGTCCCAGTAGTAGATATCAGAGGTCCCCTGGTTCCTCCACTGCAAAGATAAAGATCGGCATTAAGCCAAAGGAAAAGGGGAACAAGAGGAGGAGTGCTAGAGCAGAGCCCTACACCACCACCTCTAAGATCAGCAAGACCACTATGCTGAATGAGATGTCTAAGCAGATGTTGAAGCCTAAGAAAAGGGCTTAATTAATCCTCCCCATAATTGTCTCAACATGGAACTATAAAAGTGGGGTTTTGGGGTTTTGGGGTTTTGGGG